TATGTAGCTGGTTTCTTTCCTCAACTTAGTAATCTAATCAAGCCTCTCCATGATCGTCTCAAAAAAGACCCTCCTCCCAGGACTGACATTCATACTGAAGTAGTCAAACAGGTCAAAGCAAAGGTAAAGGAACTTCCTTGCCTTTATCTTCCCAATCCTCAGGCTTTCAAAATTATTGAAACTGATGCCTCAGATAAAGGTTATGGTGGCATTCTCAAACAGAGTCTCTAACAAAGATCATATCATTGTATATACTTCAAAGCATTGGAATCCTGCACAACAGAAATACTCCACTGTTAAAAAAGAAGTTTTAGCAATTGTTTTATGTATTTCAAAATTTCAATCTGATTTATTAAATCAAAAAATTTTAATCCATGTAGATTGCAAATCTGCAAAAGACATTTTACAAAAGGATGTAAATCAAAACAAATTTTTGCAAGATGGCAATCAATTTTAAGTGTTTTTCAATTTGATATTGAATATCTCAAAGGCACCTCAAACTCTCTTCCTGATTATCTCACTCGTGAATTTCTGCAGGGAAGATAAACAATATTCTGAAATGTCGAAATCGGCACAGTCAACCTCTTCAAAAGAAAGGAAATGAAAGCTAATCCTTGCTGGGTTAGCTAAAAAATCAGATAAATCTGGGTCTCCAGCCCAACAACAATCTGCGTCATCAACCCAACCTCAAACTGGGTCATTCACCCAAAGAGTTGAGGATACTTCCTCTTCTAAACAAACCAAAGCAGATTATGTTATGCCAATCCAAACCCTTTAAGCCCTCCAAGATATAGGCATGACCCATCTACCCAAAAAATCATGGGCTAAGATAGCCTTAGAGGATGAATAGGAAGAATGTCTTTCTGTTTTAATTGATAACTTAAAAAACAAACAGATTTCTAACCTTCCAAACAAAGCCCTAGAAATCCAACCAAAACCTGTCTTTTTCCAAAAATCAAAAACCCAAACACCATATATCTCAAAAAACAAGTTCCTAGAAGTTATTCAAATGGAACCGGCCTACTGGGATAATAAGCCAACCAAAGTACCAGCGAAGATTTTTCCTAAAGACTTCAAAGACAATCAATTCCATTTCAAACCCCTTTCTTCAAACAAATCCCAAAATTCCTATGAGTTTGTTCTACTTGATTCAAACTCTATTTCAATTAAACATTACAGAAGTCCAAAAGACCTTGAGTTTATAACTCACTCAACCATCCAGATTCTAAAAGTAATTACCCCATCAGAGTATGGAAACCCAAACAAGGTTACCAGAATTTCCCAACCTTAAGATCCAATTGGTTATAACTACTGGGATTATGAATTAGCTTGGACCAGTGTATTCTTTATGCAAAATAAAGAAAATAAACACTCTTGGTTAATTTATTTTAAACAAAATGTTCAATATAAATTCTCTCAATGGTTTATCAAATGATGGGATTATTTTGGACCAATCTTGGATATCCTTCCACCTATGGTGTTCGAAGGATTAACAATCTTTTCAGAAAAATTTGACAAAATAGCGGATCTGTTTCCAATAGATCTGCACTTTTTCTCCAAATTTTCTCGGGCATGGATATTCTCAGGCAGTATCATTATGGAGAAAAATCCGGCACCAAACTCCCAGTACTTTGACGACAAGCTTTTGTCAAGTGGGCAGAAAATGTCAAGCTTTGGTTCAAGCAACATCCAAAACATATCAAACCAACTGATCCAGAAACTTGCACTTTCCTGAATCAGAAGGCCAAAATTATAGCAGCCTTAGCCACTTCAACCAGTAAGGAAAGTTTTGCTAAAAACCTGCAGAGCATCCTCCAACTCCTTCAAGAGGAAGAAACTGGAAGTTCTAAACAGAAAATTGGTTCTCCCTCTTCATCCATCTCCTCTTCAGCAGAAGACTTCTACCAAAATAAAGACGATTGTTTTGGTATAGATTTAGCAGAAGATTGTTGAAGATGATCACTGTTGGGTATGAACTTGTTGGTTGCTTAAGATGTTCTTTTAATGGACGTTCCTTTTCTTTTAGTTCATCAAGAGAAAACACATTCGTTCTCTTGATTTCAACCCAAGTGCGCAAGTGCACGCATCAAGTAATGAATGAGATTATTAATGCCCAGATTATCGTTCCCACGAGGATAGAACTCTAAATAATACCTTAAACTATTTTAAAAAGAATTAAAATGAAAAGAGAAGACAATATTTGATATGTTTGGTCATATCTTCCCTACTATCTTGACAACGTTCCTCAAGGATAGCAGGTCCAGCCTGACTTCAAACAGCTCCTCGCGGTGTTATATATCAAATCCTTCTTGATGAGAGAAGGAACGACAATAATCATTGGAGTTTTGGTATTGTAGTCACAAGATTTATGAAAGAAAATAACAATAAAATAACAATATTTAAGAGACAACAATATAGATGGATAAAAAAATAGTTTTTAACACAAGGAACGAATCCACTGTTCCATTCTTAAATAGCTATATTCTCAACTCAAGACTTAACCCTTCTGAATTTGTTCAGGTCTTTTCACTGCCAACTCTGATTCCTCAGCTCATGGACTTTAATGGCTCACAAGTTCCCATATTCTTATGGCTCCCTTGACTCCAACAGTTACTAAGTTCAGAACCTTTAGTGAATGAGGTGGTTCCTTATTCCTAAGGCAACTAGTGGTGTTGTTTTCACAACACTACCTTCCTCCTCTGATTAAGCTGTCTAAAATCCCTTCCTTATGGAATTTCCTTTCTCAGTTTGAGTTCAATTTCCATTGATACGCAATGAATATAGCACACTTAATCACAGAAATACAAAAGCTTCAGTGCAAAAGTTTTGAAAATAGTTCTTTAAGAACTTCACAGCTTTTCCGTTCCACAAATAACTTAACCCATGGCTATAACAATAAACATAATTATTTCAAACTGAAGTCCCATAGACCCGAGATTCAGTTCAGAGATAACGAATGGAAAAGAAGAGAAATAACAACTTATATTAATAAGAAATAAGTTAGGTTACAACAAAATAAAACGGAGAAGTATGATAGTTGCTCGTGAGGAGTCTCAAGTAGGTGATACAGAATAGAGAAGAGGTTGTTGTCACTTAACTATTGCTAAAAACTATACAACTGAAAAGTAAAAACTACAACTGAAACTAAGTGATCTCTTCTTAAGAAATTCAATGGTTTCTTCATGTTGGAACGTCCTATTTATAGGCCAGAAGAGTGGATGGCAAAAATTATAATTTCCTTTGAGTTGTTTTCTTGACTGCATGAAAGGGGCGGTGTGAACAGTACTCAAGAGGGACGCAAGTTGCTGGATGAGACACTTATTGTTGAGATTTGCCTTTCCTTCTGCACTTTCCATGCTTTGCTTTCCTCTTGCCCAATGGGAACTCTTTATTCTCTGCTGTACACGTTTCTTCTTGCTTGATTGTTGTACCTCTTTATGCTTTATGGAAGCTTCTTTCAACGTTTCCTGCAAAGTGGTCAGAGAGATTGAGTTAGTAGAGCATGTGTATCTAATGAACCATTCCGTTCCCTTTTTCCTATATTTCTCAAATGATTACCTCATCATCCGTTCCTCACTGTATTTTTGTCATAAAGATATAAACATGTGTTTTAAATGCAAAAGTTGCTCATCAGATGAGGGAACATATGATATTTTACCATCAAAATGGGCTTAGATGGGAACGAATTTTCGTCCCATCAATCACTATAGATGAGTTGATGACATAATGACATGAGCATGATGTCAGCAAAAGTGACGTAATCAGTGACATAATTAGAAGTGTCGGCAGGCACTATAGTCAAAAATCTAAAAAGTGTCGGCAGTTAGCAGTTACCGTAGCAGCACGTGGCAGTTACTGTGCACTCAAACCTGCACTGTTGAAATAGTTCCAGTCGTGTGACCTGTACTGTAGAAATAGTGTTTTTTTCGTCTATGTATAGGCCCCCTTCAGAAATAGTTCCGGTCGTGTGACCTGTACTGTAGAAATAGTGTTTTTTTCGTCTATGTATAGGCCCCCTTCAGAAATAGTTCCGGTCGTGTGACCTGTACTGTAGAGAGAGACTGCGAGGTACTTCTGAGTTTTCTCTTCTTTCTTAATTTCTATCTTTCTTTCAATCTGTAATTTCAATCTTTATGCTTTGAATAATTTTTTTTTCATATCTGCATATGTAAAATCAGTTATTCTCTTCTCATCCCTTTACGCTAGTGGAATTACCCCAACGTTCACCTTAAATTTATTTTATGCCTTTAATTTCAGAGTTTTAATTCATGTAGTAGTCCATCTACTTTCCATTTCTGCTCTCTTTTCTTTTATTTTCCCCCTTTCCCTACCGCAACACTTAAAATTGCTTGCCATCTTGCAAAAATTTGTTTTGATGCTAAATTTTGTACATCTTTTTGTAAAATATCTTTTGCATATTTGCAATATACTGGGATTAAAAAATTTTAATTTAATAAATCATATTGAAATTTTGAAATATATAAAACAATTGCTATAACTTCTTTTTTAACAATGGAGTATTTTTACTGTGCAGGCTCTAAAGTAGGTCCACAATCTGCAAATGTCATCACTGTTTTATATATATATATATATATATATATATATATATATATATATATATATATATATATATATATATATATACGCGCTTCAAAATTATAATTTATTTATGATATAACAATTTGAATAAACTTACAAATGTTAAACTAAATTTAATAATAAATTATTTTAATGTAATTTTAGTATTTTAAAAAAAGATTATATTTACAAAAATTTTATTTATAAATTATATTATATACTCCGAAAAATGCACTTATTTAAAAAATATACTTCTCTAAATATATAATATAATTTATAAAAATTTATAAACAAAAAATTTATAAATATAATATTAAATTTATATTAATTTATCGTAAGTCCCACGAAACCGACCGAACTCTTAAACCGGTCAACGCCACTTGTCCAAAAGAATAAATTGAAGACAAAGCCAAATGAAGAGAAAGAGTGTGTGATAGAATTGAATAGTAAAGTAATAGTTCGCCCATTTCTTCCATACAAAACCCTAAAACCCTAAAATCTGATACTCCATGGATTTGCAGCAGAGCGAGTTCGATCGCCTCTTGTTCTTCGAGCATGCACGTAAGACTGCAGAAGCTGCATATGCTGCTAATCCTCTCGATGCTGACGTCAGTTCTTCTTCTTCTTCCTAGTTTCCATTGCACTTCGAAAATGAAAACTCTGCGAATTCCTGTTATAATATCAAATTAATTTTTTTAAAATATTTTTTTTAGGGTTCTGGAACCTTGTTCAGAGTGTAAATCGTTTATGGTATAATATTTGCAGAACTTGACAAGATGGGGAGGAGCTTTATTAGAGTTATCTCAGTTTCAGACTGTTCCTGAATCAAAGAAAATGATCGAAGGTGATAATTCTATACCCAAAATTTTCATTCTTTGGAGCAACTTTTTTCTGGGTGTTTGTTGCCTTAATTTTTTATTTTATGAACTTGAATTTTGACTATGTAAAAAAAAATTAAAAAATTAAAAAAATCCTAAATGAAAATGATGCTTAGTGGGCCATTTTAATGATGTGATTAATTTCTGGGCCTTCACGGAGTGTTCAGAGTTATTGATTTCTCACAATGGGGTGCTGACTTCATTTGCAGAAGCTGTTTCAAAGCTGGAGGAGGCACTATTGGTTAATCCCAAGAAGCATGATACTCTTTGGTGCCTGGGAAATGCTCAAACTTCACATGCATTTTTAACTCCGGATCAGGAGGAAGCAAAAATTTATTTTGATAAGGCAGCTGAGTACTTTCAGCAAGCCGTTGATGAGGTGCATTTTCAGCCTTGTATTAATACTAGTTCCATCAGTGTTTGGGAATTATTTTACTGTTAAAAATGAATGTGTAATGGGGAAGTTTTGTTTACAATAGGACCCTTCTAATGATTACTACCGCAAATCCTTGGAGGTGGCCTCTAAGGTATGTTGTGTCTTGCCATGTTTGGTACTTAATTTTTCTGCTGTTATTAGGGCATCCTGTCATCTATTTTGTGTTTAAAAGTGTTATACCTTGGTGTAATGTAGAATTGGCTGTCACAATTTTGTTTATTTTTGACATGTTCCCCCCCCCTCCCCCCTTGATTTTTGACTTTGTCAAGAGTACTGAAAACTAGGTAAAGTGGGAAGGGAGATTTTTCCCATTTTCTATTATTTTTTGCACCTTGTTTTTATAATCTGAGTGCTTATTGCAAGTATGGATCCTTGCAAATATTGTGCTTGTGTGACTTATATAAGCTAAAGTACAAAGGAATCATGTAAATGGTCCTGATATCTGCAGTTGCATGTGACAGTATGTGAGACTGCGGTTTGACTTATAGATCATGGAATACCATAGTAAAGCCAGACATAATCCAATTATGTGAACTCTGCCACGAAAATATTGAAAAATTTACTGAATTGTTATGGGATCCTCAACAGTGAGCATATATTCTAATGGTGAATCATAAATAAACTAAACAAAGTTATTTATTTAAAAAAATTTCTACTGAAATTTTAATATATCATGTTTGCCCTATTAGGAATCTGATTCCTGTTTGTGGCTTCATTATGGGTCTAGGATAATGTGTCTCTCGGATTTGTTTGTTGTTTCACAGAAATTGGACATCACTCTCAACCTGATGTGTTCCTTTTTGCATTTCTTTCTGCTTTCTATCATTTGGTGTTTTTGGATACCTTTATGGCTTTAACCTCACCCCTTGTTCTCTCATTCTTTCTAATATAAATATATTTTTTTCATGAGAAAAATGTTTACCAACTTGCTCTAAAAATAGCTACTGAACCAGTTCAACTACTAACAATTTTATTTTAAGGCTCCTGAACTGCATGCAGAAATCCATAAACATGGATTAGGTCAGCAGGTAATGGGGACAGCTGGTGGACCTTCTACTTCTTCGAGTACAAAGGTAATACTTAAAACATAAACGTTTATGTTTTCTCTCTCCGCCTACTTTTCTGTATCTTTTTTTTTTTTTTTTTTTCAGTCAATGAAATTGTCTGATTTTCTGTTAACTTCTTTGAACCCATAATATGTGTTTAAGGTGTTATTGAGTTGTTAATGCAATGTTCTCCAAATTTATTGTGCAGACACTGTTAACTACAGTTCACTGTGCGCATGTGCCCCTTGATTGAAAATTGATGGTTTTTAAAGTACATATTTTTATAAGATTAATTCATATTTTATTGTGAAGAATTAGGAACTAGTTGACTTAAATTTCTGGCTTTTTAGGTCAGGTGATCAGAGTTAGGGCTAGAGGTGAGGCAAGCTAGCCTGCAAGCCACTCATGGCTCGATTCATTAACAGCTTATTGAGCTATGCTCACAAGTTAATTGGTTGAGCTTGAGTTGAAAATTTTGGCATATTTTTTAAATGACCCAAGCTTATGTTTTCACATATTCACTCATTAGCTTGTGAGTTGGATCTCTCTCTCTCTCTCACTCTGTGTGTGTGTGTGTACATATAGTTAGTTACTTAGTTTTTATGTTAATATATATTTATATACACATGTATTTGATTTTACTTTTTGGATTATTTAACACTTTTTTCAATTAAAATATATAAAGATTAAAAATGTGTTCAATGAGTTACGAATTAGATTTGATCCTGGCTCATTGAACTCTAGTAACTCGTGAGTTTGAAATGCGCCGAGCATGAGCCAACAAAGCGGGCTTATTTTCTTAATGAGCCGATCCTGAATTGAGCTTATTCTTGTTGAACCGAGCCTTTGGCTCATTTCCACCGGATATTGGGGCATAAAGGGTATAGGATGGATTTTTTTTTTTTTCTTGGAATTTGTTTTATATCATTTTTTTTTGGTAGGCAATGTTTTATATCATTTAGATTCAGTAGCGAATCAACATGGTAGAATTCTTGCCAATAGCAAATAGACCAAATGCATGGGTCTTGTTTCACTAACTAGTGTTTCTTTGATATTTATTGGATTAATGTCCTGGTGAATTCCCCCTTTCAAAGGGAATAATGTGTTATGTTTTCAAGCATCTAATTTATTATAGATTACCTCGCTTTCCTTTAAAGACTAATTCTTTGTGTTCCCAAGTATTTTGAGTATGTATGATCTAAATCAAAAAGGATGGGATGCCATTTCAGTGATCATTGCTACTCACCCTAGTCCCTTAGAAGTTTATTTCCCCTGGACTTGTGTCCTTTAAACTTCTGGTATATTTTAGGTCGGGCAATGGTATTCCTATTAAAATTTGGGAGGACAATTGGTGGGGAATGTTTCTTTTTTGGAGGCTTTTTCTTGTCTCTCTCTATCATTACTTTTATTTTCTCCCGGGTCATTCCTTAATTGGGATTTCATTTTTCTAAAGATTTGAATGATAAAGAAACTAGTGAACTATAATGATAATCCCTTTTGGTTTTGCTTGTTGCTCTATATGCCTCTCTGCTAATCTTGAGAATAGAGTCTGGACCTTGGATTCTTGTGGTGAATTCTCTAGCATCTTTCTTCAGTTTCTTACTCACCCCGAATTTTCAAAACTGAATAATTTATTCTTGAAAACCGATTTGGAAGTCCAAAGCTCCCTCTAAAGTCAAGTCTTTTATTTGAACGACAATACTTCACATGGTTGATAATTACTTTTTGTTCCTGATTCGTAGGCCTCATATTCTCTAGCTCAGATACAGTAAGCCACCTATTTTTGCATTGAATGATGGCTGCTTACCTTTGGAATAATCTTTTCCAGTTCTAGGTTATCAGAGAGCACTGGGTGTGTCCTGTACCTTGCAGTTATTTTTGGGTTTTGTCACAAAGGTTTTGGTGAAAACAAGGGACAAAACATTTTATGGCAGTCTCCAGTCTTTCTAGCGCTTTGATGTGAGTAGGGGGAGTGGAATGCTTATATGTTTGCCCCTGGACTTGATTTGGGATAGAGCTACTCTTTTGGCTTTTTCTTGGGTGTTTTACTCGTAGCTGCCTCATGGGAGTTGTTATCTCGAACGTGCAAAGAGATTGGACCATGGTTAACCAAATTCACTCAACATCCCTGCAAATTGTGTACCGGGTTACCAATTCACCATAAAGAAATTCTTGTAAAATCATCACTAGCAATGATGAATCGCTTACTAGTACCCATATCATATTTCTAGTTGGTACCTATGGGATTGTACAACTTTGTTGCTCTCTTATTTTTCTTTGTTTACTTAGAACATAAAACTTTTTTGCTTTGGAGGATTCCTATTCCCTTCCATGTTATACTTACTTCCCTCTCTTCATAAAATTTCCATTTCTATTGCCCCCATAAAGAAAAAATAAAAATAAAAAAAATCAAACCTTTGTTCACTTATTTCGAGACAAGTGATTCTTCTTCCGTTTTTGGTTGAGCCTTGGTCTGTTATTTCTTATACATGCATTGTGGGCAGCAAATCTTGAATTTGTCTTTCGTTTTGGATTTTCTGACATCTACTTAACATGCTCAAGTGGGACATATTGCATGGCCCCATAATGCAATCAAAGAATTGTTGCATTGAAATAAAAATAAAAATCAAAGCTATGCTATGTAGATGGAAGCTTTGATCTTCATATTTGAGTTCTGTGCATTTTTCCCTAATCTTTTTGTTGTTTTTTCAGACCAAAAAGAAGAAAAAGAGCAGTGATCTGAAGTATGACGTACTTGGATGGGTAATTCTGGCCGTGGGCATTGTTGCATGGGTGGGATTTGCAAAATCACATATGCCACCTACTCCTCCTCCACCACCTCCTCGATAAGTGAAGCTCTTGATTTGATGCTGTGTTCCTTGTCGGCTAAACATGAGTCAGAGCAGCTGATGTTTCATGGAGAATCGCTTTTGGGCCCCTACCCATTTCTTAATTTGTAACAGTAGTGAGGTTTTTGCAGTGTAACCATTTACTTTATCCATCATTTGAAAATCTGTTATTAACATTATAGTAGTACAATTGGGTTGAGCAGCTAAATAATCCATGCTGGTAGAGAGGGCTGTTCTGCAGGCCTTAAAGCACTGACATCAAATATCAAATACAATAATTTTCCCACACCCTTAATGTGTGGGGCACTGACGAGCCATTCAAGGCAGGTTTGGAATGAGGAATTTCGAAGAGAAGCAAACGAGGGATAATTTTTCATTTTTAAAATTAAGAAAATTATAAAATGTTTGGCTTTTAGCTTGCTAGATTTGATTGCTTACCTCCAAGCAATATCATGAACTGATATTTTGTGGGGTTGAAATCATTTTTTTATATAGAATAATGCTTGTTTCATTTCACTTCCTTAATCAAAGCTATTGAGGTATTAAAATTAGAGTACAAGTATGCAAAAAAAAAAAAAAAAGTAGTATGTGATCTGGTGAAATTTGTACAAATGTAAAGTGATATTTGTGTGTTCCAGCTTTATTTTATCTTTTAAAGGGATTTGTGTGATCGAGTTGCATGACTGGATTACCATTGAATTCTCTGGATGCTTTTTATTCAGGAATTAGTTTTATATTTATGATAATGTTGAGGTTGGCATATTGTTTTGGAAACTCTTGCAGTTGGATTGGGTGATCAGATTATTTTATGTCTTCTTATGACTATGTAGGGTCCTTAGATTAGGATTTTAGTGTTTCAAAAGGTGAAATTGTGCTGTAAAACAAAAAGGATATGTATGCATAAAAAGCTAAATTTGAATGGTATGCATTTCAAAGACAGGCGGCGATTATCGTTGTTTTGATAAAATGGATTTTGATAAGAAACTCCATGGGCAAGAATATCCCTTTCTGTGGGTTTAACAGAATTTTTTTTTTTTCCTTCACTCATGAGCTAAAACTCTGAAATCTTTGCTATTATACCGTTTGAATAAAAAATTAATACGGTGGTTTCATTTACATATTTAAATCGTGATAGGAATTATATTAAATTGCCACGCATATGAAATCAACGGTTAAACGGTGTCGTTGGAAAATACGATGATGTTCTGCGAAGTTCTAACTAGAAGTTTCTTTTGCTTTGTTGATTCAGGAGAGTGCCCAATTAGAGAAATAGACCATGCCCATGTTCCTGCACTTTCACCCTCAAATTTGTCACCTTTCTGTTATTTCTAGCTTGTTACAAGTAAAGAAGGGTTATCGAAAATGCAAATGGTTTGTGTTTGTGGAGAAAAATGTCGTTTTGACGCGCTCTCATTCTTTGGTTCTTGTGTGTCGTTTCCAAGTACCAATGTCTCGTTTGGCATATCCAGAAGCCACAAGTCCCGTGTAGTATCCATGGCTATTAAGCGAAGCCCCAAACGTCTCAAATACACTGCTGCTCCTCGCTTTAGCAAGGTGGTCTTCTTTTTCTTCTTCTTCTTCTTTTTTCTCTTTACCTTGTTTGTTTAATAGGTAGCTGCCCTATGTGTCATGTGTAATGCAAATGTTAACTTTGTTGGGCATTGACTTTGTTTGATTGTTAATAATGACCAGGAGGGTGGTTTGATGTACATTGAAGCTGACCCATCTGCTTCTGACTCTTGGAAATTGGAACCAGTTGTCAATCTCTTGAAAGAAGGGGCTGTTGGGGTCATTCCTACTGATACACTGTAAGTGCTCCTTATTCCATGACATGATATGTTTCAATATGTCAACCATTATATGACATGATATGATATGATTCTCTTGTCCATGATTACTCAACATTGTGTTTTCATTGTCTATACAGGTATGCAATTGTATGTGACCTCAGAAGCCACTCAGCCATTGAACGACTTCGTAGGTAGGTACCCTTTTGCTAATCGTAAGTAATTTTTTTGTCCCTATAAAACTCCATTTTCCATCCCCATTGACAATGGATGTGGTGTTGTATTGCAGAATCAAGAATATAGAAGCTTCAAAGGTGACGAATACGGCTTGTTTTAGTCAGTTCATGTGCTTCCTATTGGCCTGCTAATGGGCTATACTTTTCACATTATGGTGCATGTCACATGCTTGCAATCACTTTACATTTGTTTAGGTTGGATGGTATTTGAACACAGCTTAACAACAGTCTGTATGTATATATGTATCTTATAATATTACTTCCAGTCATTAATTATTATGATAACTCTGTACTTGCAGCCTCTTAGCATCTTATGCCACTCATTTCGGGACATAGACAAGTACACAGCTGGATTTCCACGCGGTGATGGTCAAGGGCATGCAAATATATTCAAAGCTGTTAAACATTACTTACCTGGCCCAGTAAGTATGCTCTCTGGTTCTAAAGAGAAAACAGTTGATGAATTTGTGAACATTATAATGATTTTTGGAGGGGGAAATTTAATAGGTCTAACCTGCTATTTCCTATTTGCATACTTTGTATAATTTTTTATGTTAGTAGAGACCATGAATTACCACTCTACTTGGTATAATAAAGTAGTTTCTCATTTATTTCCAGGTGGTTTCTGCCAAGTTAAATGACCTTGACAAGAATGATGTGTTTGTGTATATTAGCGTAAAGAAAAAATATCTAAAATTTAAATACAATTCTTCAGACTTGTTTCCAAGTTTCAGTCAGAATAATTATGGGTATCTTGTGAAATGTCAGCGAATAAGGAGCTTTGCATTGTAGTCTCTATATTTAGTTTTTCTTTTTTAGGTAATATCATGTCTCTATGTGGATGACATCCTTTTGTTTCAATTTGTTGTCTATGCCGTATAGTTGTAGACAATTATTTATTGACACCAGTTATGTTTGAGTGACAGTACACTTTCATCCTAATAGCAAGCAAAGAATTACCTAAGCAATGCATAAGGTTTGGCACTTCTGCTGCCAAATACGCATCAAGAAAAAATGTGGGTGTCCGTATGCCTGACGATGCCATTTGTCAAGCTATACTAAAGGAGATGGATGCACCATTAATATGTACAAGGTTTGTTTAATTTGTTTGATCCTTTTTTCCATCTCTGCCTTAGGAAATTAGTGTTGTCATGAGGGAAAAAGTGGGTTGAGGCGGCCACCCCCAAAACCACATCACTTTGATATAGCAAGTTGATGCAATCGCATCATTGAAGTGATGTGGATATTTAAAAATAAAGTATTCATATTATGACAAATCATGACCAAAATAACATTTAAATGGTGAGGCACAGTGGCAAATATTTGAGAATAAGGGGAAAAATCAGTTGCTTCAGTCCAGAATAGATACGAGACTGTGAATAAGAACATGGAATTGGAGGATAAAGGGAGCTTCAGCTTCTGGACTGCAAGTTTAAGGTTTTCTTTTTGTGAATTGCTAGGTAATATTAAGTTTGTTAGTAGTCCCAAATACCCCTTTAGATTAGACCATGGTAGTTAAAATCGGGATTTTACCTTAAATCGGAAGGAGGATAAAACATCGTAAAACGTAAAATCTTAACGTAAAAAAAATCATAGAAGCGTTTGGAATTTTAATGAAATTGTTTTGATTGAAAAAAATCGTAAAATCGCAGATTTAAATAGGGATTTTAACTACCATGGATTAGACATTCATTGGCTACGAAGCTTTTAAAGTGAGGATCATGGTTGTCAAACTCGAGATTCTATGCAAACTCGGAAGGGTGAACCAAAATCGTAAATCGCAGAATCATAACACGGATCGTAGACTCGTAACACAACATACAAATTATATTTATATATATTTATATGCATATAAAGTAATATAATAAGCAAATTTAATTCAACCAACCAGCAAAATAATGTCATACAATAGTCATAATCACATAATGTCTCAGACACATACAGTCATAGCACAAAAGATCAAAATCCAAAACAATATATCAATCAAATCTCAAAGGAATGATGGAATGTCATAAGCATCCTCCGCATCATCATCTTCATCACCATCTTCATTATTTCCTTCATCATCATCTTGGATGATGTCTTCTCCACCTTCCCCACCAAGTTCAGAACCACCATCATCTTCAGGTATCATCATCAAAGCATCTTCATCTGTATCATCTAAGTTAAATTCAGGAATATCCAAATCATCTATATCTTCAATGTTGGATGGACTTCCCTCATTTTCCACAATCCATTCATCATCAGATGAAAGATCATCTATGCTATAAGACTCATGATCTTGCCCAACACTTTTTTTGCGTTCCTTCTTCCTGGCCAATTTTAAATTGGCCATCACAAATACAAGATCATTCATTTTCTTCTGTTTCAGGCGATTTCTTTTCTTGGTATGGACCTACACAAATACAAACCTAATGAATATATAGAAATTAGCAAGTAATAGGTAGTGATTTTAAATTTTAACTATAAAATACAAATCATTTACCATCTCAAAAGCACTCCAGTTACGCTCACACCCAGACGAACTGCATGTCAAGCTTAATATACGAATGGCAAATCTTTGTAACTCTGGATGCTTAAATCCATAAGATTCCCACCATTGTGCTGGAGTCTTTATTTTCAAACCTTCTTGAGCTATTGAACTACCAAAAAAATCTTCTTGCAGCTTGAAATTTTCAATTTGCTTATCAATGTGACTTCTTTCTTCAGTACTTGTTGTCATCCTATCCAAACACTCATATAGTCCATGCATAACTTCAAAATCAGCTTTAAGATTAGGACCATAATGAAGTTGAGGATTAAGGTAATAGCCTGCAACATGCAAAGGTCTATGGAGTTGTCGATCCAATCTATTATCAATGATTGTCCATAGAGGCATATATCTAAGGTGGGAACAAATTGAGTTAGTTTTAAAACAAAGGCTACAAATTACAAGGTTCTTTTGCTTTAAATTCATAATTACCTGCTTGCGACGCCTCTGAGATCGCTTCGAATAGTTTCTTTTGCTTTATCCATTCCTTCATAAATGTATCCCATGGTTGGTTTTTCATCAGAATCAATCATACGAAGCACTTTGATTAACAGAAAAGCACCCCTCAAGCAATTGACAAGGTTCTTCCAAAACTTCTTGTCTATAACCACATCCTCAATATATTTCCCATCCTTTGATTTTGCACACTGGCTAGACTGCCATTTCTCTGAAGTGAACATTCTTTGCAATGGTCCCTTGTTTTCACCTAGGCAACCCAATGTCAGATATGATGTGGCAAAGCGAGTCATGCCTGGCCTCACCAAATCCTTTTCTTTTGTTAAATATTGTAATAAACAAATTAAGGAAGTCCTTGAATATATATAAGTAGTAATTTTTCTCCCCTTTGCAATGGTATCTTTATGCATTGGTATGCCCTCAAGATCTTCCAACATCAAATCGATGCAGTGAGCGGCACAATGTGTCCAATACAAATGTAATCTTTTTTCCATCAACAACCTTCTAGCAGCTTTATAATTGGCAGCATTGTCAGACACAACTTGAATAACATTTCTTCTCCCACCTCATTAATAATTTCTTCAAGCGTAGCAACAATGGCTTCAGCGGTTTTTGATATATGAGAGGCATCAATAGACTTCAAAAAAACTGTTCCTTTTGGGCTATTTACCAAGAAGTTTATTAATGTTCTCCTCCTTTGATCAGTCCAACCCTCAGTCATTATTGTGCAACCTATTTTCTTCCAAAAAGCTTTATGTTTCTTCATATCAGTCATTGTCAACTGCACATGTTGCCTCAAATATTTTTCTCTGATTTCATGGTAGGATGGAGGTTTAAATCCATGACCATGTCGTATAACATCATCAAACATCTCTTGAAATTCATCACTCTTCACAACATTAAATGGTATAGCATTGGCATAAAAAAATTTTAGCAATTTTTGAACATGCTGACTCTCTCAAATCCTTTTTAAATATACAATTGATGGTGGTTTGAGTACTCACTCCTTTTCACTTGAAAATATTTGGAACTTGAGATTGAGATTGAGAGCTTTCATCTTCTTCCCCTTTTCTTTTTTCTCCAAGTATTTCACATTCATTTTGAGTCTGACTACTTGATTTCTTATTTTGCAACAAGAACACAATATCCCACATTTGTTTCTTCACATCATCAGGAACAGATGGGCAAGCTATCACATCTCTTTTAGTCCCAGCCAAATGATGTTTCAGTCTATAAACTCCTCTAGTTAGTACCCTTGTACAAAACTTGCATTTAATTTTTTTTGCATTTCCATCTACTACAAATCCATAACTCCATGCAACATCATTCTTACTTCCAAGAGCATTCTTATGAATTTTTGTAGAAGTTGTTGTTCCTCCACTTCCACATGCAGTAGTACTATTAACACCACTTGAAGACATTTTCTAAAAATATACAACATTCAAATTCACAACAAATAATTAAAATTAACCACAAATAATTAAAATGATTTATAAATATAACAAAAAATGCAGTCAGTAGAGTTGCACGAGCAGAGGCGAGCGCGAGAAGAGATCGAGACAAAAAAATAAAACAGAGAAGAGATTGAGACGGAGCAGAGCACTAATCGGTGAGGGACGACCGGAGAAGACGGTAGCTTGAAGCACGATGGTGATGGCACGCGGAGAAGCTTCACTCAGGAAGAGGGCAAGACGACGAATCAGTACCATGCAAGGGAGGGACGACCATAGAAGACGGTGGCTTGAAGCATCTTCGTGAGTCGCGACTTCGTCTCCCAGGATCTGCAACGGTGGTGGCTCAAGTTCTTTAGGTTTTTTTTAGCTAAAAAAACCCATTTATATAATGGTTTTCCGGGTCAAATATTCGGGTCAACGGGTCTTCTTTGTTCTGGTTAAATCGTTGAACTCGGACGATTATACGAGTTTGCCAAAAAACTCGACGCTTCTACCATTTGAGGGCCAAAAGCGAGTAAACGCAGATCGTGGCTCGTAACCGTGTTGCTGAAGCGTAAACTCGTTCGATTTTACGAGTAAACGCGCGAGTTTGACAACCATGGTGAGGATAAATAAGTCGAGTGAAAATGCATGATGCGGCACCATCAGCCCTTCACCCTGATGCGGCTGCATCATTTAAATCTTTTCGCCTCAGGCCATCTGAGGTAGTGAGGCTATTTTCTGCCCCACCTCAACATCTAGGCGGTCTCCTCAGCCACTTCTGACAACACCGCTAGTGGATTTATTCTTATTTAATCAAGTTCTTTTAAGTAGATGACTATAACCTTTGAACTTTGAAGTCATCAGGGCATTGGCCCCTTCATTTTCATAATTGTTGTGTAAGAATATGGAGCATAATTAGTTGATGCTTGTACCTTGATATCACTCTGGATTTGTGTATCCTTCTTTTAGCATCAAGTTCCTGAAGGAAGATGAGTGGATGATTGATCCAGTTATGATAGCTGATACATATGGACCGGAGGTATCCCTCTTTCCATTTTCTCTGTGTTTGATTTTTATTTTCCGATATAAATAGCTATGGAAATAGAGAGAGAGCCCTCGGAAGTAGCTTTTTTGCTAAAATGTAAGGGTAAGACTGTATACAATTAACCATCACCCCTATCCTCACATGTCGTGGAGCCTTGTGTATATTTGTCCGTTTTTTTTATAAATAGTTATGGAAATAATAATTTTAACCCCTACTCCAAAGAAAAAAGGAAATTATTATTGGCAATTTAAATGCTTGTTAGAAATAGACCATATCATGTTCATGGTACATTATATTTGCGTAGTCATCTTTCTGTAGGGAAACTTATTTTGCATTTGCAAATGAAGAATGCGATGGTATACATGCTTCAGAGTCTACTTATTGTAAGACTATTTTGGTATCTTTGGTCCCACCTAACCTAAAGAATTGGCAAATTGGCTATATTTTCTACTGTTAGGTTCTATTAGAGATGCAAATTTTTTAAAGGAAGAAGAAAAATGGTAAAAGAGAACCACTTAACACATTTATTTGAGGGGGGTACTTAAAGCACTTAAAACCTTTATTTTGGTTGTTCAGGGTCTTGATTTTGTTGTTGATGGCGGTGTAAGAATAGCCGAAGCATCCACAGTGGTTGACATGACGAAAATGCCTCCCAAAGTCCTAAGACAAGGAAAGGTGGTAATCTTTCATTTTGCAGTTTATAACTTTACATGGATGGGTTAGTTACTTCATTATGAGCATCTGAAGAATGTGATGTGATGCCACTCTTATAATGTGATTCAGTGCAAAAAAAAAAAAATTTGATATCACATTTTTTGCTAGTTAATCACATGCTTAGTGTTCATGTATACAGTATATCGTATATTAATTTTTATTTCCTGCATGTCTCAGTGACCTCAGAAAAATATAATTAGACTTGGTAACTAATCAAATGTGATGTTCAGGGTCCTATTTTACCTTGGATGGTAGTGGAAGATGATGAGAAAACTGATGTTGAAGAAGATATCATCCCTGCTGGCATTTGAAAGTTAATCATCCATTTTGATTGAAAATTTAACATCCGAAATCCTGTTTATGAATTTTTGTTTATGAGAACATTGAGAACAAACTTCTATTATGCAACAAGGTAGAAATTCTGTATATAAAAAACTCATCTTCAGCCTCATTTTACTTGAAATGTAAGTCCTTTATTTACAGAGTACTTTTATGAGGAGCTATGAAAGATAAAAAAAAGTGAATTTATTTTTAATTTTTGTATACAAGATGTACAATTACTTTTATTCAGATAGTTTTAAATAAATTTACGTTATTGTGAAATTATCAAAATAGGAAGTAATGCATTATGTTTTGTGTAAATATTTACTATTTTAAAGAGCGAAAATTTGGAAATTAAACCCAAGATGCCGTTTGTGTTTTCACTGGATTAACCTCTCGAGACCTAAAGAGAGTTTTGAACCAAAATTAATTTTCAAGGTCAAATTGACAAATGAGTAGCTATTCACTAGTTTAGTCTGGATTCTTTATGCAATTAAACCAAAATTGATGTTTTATAGTTTTTGGTCAAAATTGCTTGAGTGAACATTCTTAAATATAAAGTCTTATTTTTCATAAAGTAATAAATTTAGTTCTTCTAAGATGTATGATATTCAAAATAACACTACACTCCTTTTTTTTAACATTAGTTCTTGTTTGTAGTGTTTGTTGAATGAATTGAGAATATAGCTGAATAGGGGGGGGGGGGGGGGAATAAATGCTTATATAAATGGAAGAGCAATGGCCCTGGCTTCTGATTTTGACCTCCTAATTAAAAGATCTTTGAGGTGGTGTTTGGTACAAGGGTATCACAAGAATTATTGGTAAACTTTCTTTGGTAAACATCGATTCCCAGACACAACATATAGCTAACGTAACAGAACCAATCCATTTGTATATTGGATTAAAAATTGAGGTTTGGTAGAAGTATTAAAAATCAATTTCTGGATATCCAAGTTTTACCGGTAAAGCATTTTACAAAGAAAAATTACTGTTTGGATTACTAAAAATTAGGCGGTTTTCATGATTACTGAGGGAAGGGAAAGCAGATAACATATTTTTGAGATAATAATACCTCCAACACACATCAAATTAGTAGGTTTGGTGTCATTGAAAAGTTAAGGTTAGTTTTGTAAAATCAACATATATTACCAGTAATATTTTACTCACAACCAATCATATACTCAATAAAATTATTAAATATTTCTGGTTAATATTTATGTCTACCAAACAACTTTTTTATATCATTCCCGGTAAATTGGATTTCTTTGTATATTACTGGATATCATGATTCCCGGACATAAAAAAAATTCTCTTGTACCAAACATACCCTGAAGTTAGCATAATCAATATGCTTTTAGGGGGCGTTTGGTACAGGAGAAATTTTTATTTGTCCGAGAATCTTGATTTTCAAAAATATGATTTTTACATTCAGTTTACGAACATCTGAAAATTTAAAATTTAAAAAAATTCAGTTTTTCAGAAATCCGAAAAAAATCCGTGTACTTACCGTTGGACTTGGGATCATGCTGCAATGGAAGAAGATCCCTTGCAATTTTAAAAAAGGTTTTATTAGTGTTATGTTACATGATTTAAGTGTTGTTTCCAACACACACAAAAAAATGGAGAAAGAAAGTGGAACGATGAAAGAGAAAAAAAAACATGTGGATCCCACCTCTTTAATGTGTGTGTAGGAAAGTGATGTTATATCATGTTACATGATAAACATAAAATCCTTTTAAAAAATAATAAATAAATAAACTACTGAGAATCTCAGCCCTTAGTTTAGTTTTAATATTTCATAAACGGATGAGGTGTAGTTGGTTTTTCAAGCTCATCCAATGCATGAAAATTTCAGTAGTACATTAATTTTTAATATTTTATTATGGGACAGGGTTATATTTATAAACTTTTTGTTTACAAACTCTTACAAATTACACTATGTATTACGGGTAGTATATACTATGAGCTTGTTTAGTGTGATGAATAAGGCTTGATAGTATAAGTTTATACTATACGTCATTGACATTTTCAGTAGTTTGGTGTGATCATCGTATAGTATAAACTTATATAACATAACCTCTTAATACATCAAAATGATGTATAATTTAATCAGACCCAAGAGGTGAGATTAGGCCTTATAAGAGATTGATGTATGAATATTGCTTACAAGTACAATTCTCAAGAATTAATATATCATTTCAATATTAATATATTAAATTAAAAAATTAATATTAAATTTTAAAATATCTGAAATTTTTATTTTATAAAAATTAATATATTTTTTGAACACACTGATCAATATATTTTTATACAAAATAATATCATATAACATATTTGGAAGATCATATAAGTTCTTTATTCAAGGGTATTTTTTTAAAAAATATTATTTTTATCCTATTTAGTATTATACTGTTCATTACCAAATACTAGAGGATATTATCTTATACAATACCATATCAGACGCTGAATAGTATTACAATACAATTTAATCAGATCTTATATAATCAAACTTTATACTATCAGATTTTATACTATCGGATTTTATACTATCAGATCTTATCTTATATTATGAGCGAAATATGCTCTACATATGCTATCTGTAGTACAATGTAGTTTGTGAGAGTTTATTGTAAAACAAAACTTTTTAATATTTCAACTGCGGAGGATAGTGATAGGGAGTTGATTGAATGCAGTTATCATTGTTTTCCAAACTGCGAGGGGTTGATTTCCTAATCACGTGTTGTGATGCGATATTTTGGGAAGGGGAGTTCTTAAGAGTACAAAGTTTGCATTATTCTCTTAAATGGTTGGGACCAAATTAATGGCAGAAGATCTATAATGTCCTTTTTCTTTTTTTCTTTTTTTTGGTTTTGTGCATTTAGCACATGGGAGTTATCATCGCCTTATTTATTAAAAGGGTAAAGAGTAAAATTAACTCATAAGCTGCTTTTTTTTTTTCAGCAACTCATTTAAAAATTATGCATTTTGCTCTTTCATATCTCATCTTCAATGAGTGTTTGTGATCAAATAACATAATCACATTACTATTTTTTCATATTAGAGGATCCAAATCCAAATGTTAATACAATCAGCCAAAAACATCCAAAATATGAAGGATAGGTGAACTAATTAAGGTACATGCAAGTTATGTTGAACATTATACGAAATGTTAAGGTGGAAGAGTTTCACTATGTCTAGGACAAATATTGTTAGTCCTACGAGTAATTTTTCTTCATTTACTCTGTTAAATTATCTTTATACAAAGATTGAATATCACGGATTCAATGTGTTTGAATGAAAATTATCGTAGATAGATGAGCTTCATAGCAGCCCGTTTGGATGAGTTTTTTTTTCTTCAAATGCTACTTTTTTTAAGAAAAAAAAAAAGCACTATTCGAAAAAAGTCTGTTTGGATGTCTGCTTTTAAAAAAAGCATAAGTCATAAAAAAAAGTCAAAAATTTACTTTTTTCGAAAGCTAAAAATTTTAACTTTTTTAAAAAAGAAGAAGTCAAAAGCCAAATATATTTTTCAAAAATCAAATATTTTTAAAAAAATCTAAATAACTGTAGCTTTTATAAAAAGTACTTTCAAAATAAATAAGTGATAAAAAAGACTTTCTTGAAAAGCCAATACAAACAGGCTCTAAATCTTCATCCAATCTTTTAAATAAATGTCAATGATATTTTAAGTGTTTGTTTTGCGTAAAATAAAATGTCGGCCGTTGATAATTTCTCGTTATTTTCCAAACTCAATTGCTTGGGAAATTTTAAGATTGAAGAGATTTCCACTTATTTTTCTTGTGACCTTTCAACACAGTTTAAACAATGACATTATGAACAATATTATTATCAGGTTTTACCAATATAAGGTTCTGCTCCTCTGTATTTTCTAACTCGATCTCAACAATGCTATGATAAAATGTATTGAAAATTTTAAACAAAATGCAAGACGTTAAAAGAAATTAGCTACTTAAAGTATCACTTTGGATAAATTTTCTCTAAAAACCATTGGAATTATAATAGGGGACGGTTAAGTTTACCACCCTTACAACCAATCTCTTAACCGTTAGATTAGAATTAAATCTAACGGCCCATAATTATTCCTTATAATCTTAATTGTTTTTCTCTCATCCCCTCTCTGTCTCTCTCTAGGTTTAGGATCTGCACTCCTCTCTCTCTAGGTTTGGAAATCAACTCTCTCATTCATTTCGCAACAAAATAAAAATCTTAGCAATAAACTAATCGTAAGTAACCATAATTATTTCCAGTGCAGTTTCTGACGATTATCAAGATTCAATCAGCAGAAAGCACAAGAAGTGATTGATAATCACACATTTGCTTTGCGATAAAAATTAATTGAGCGTATATCAAAAGGACCTAGTAATCAACGTATGATCAGGCATTGTTTTGAGATCTGCACATCTCTTTCTGTAGGTTTGAGAATCAACTCTCTCATCCTCTCTTTACTGTTATAGTTAAAGAAAGCATGAAAGAGTTATTCCTAAACCTAGAGAGAGGTGTGCAAATCTCAAACCTAGAGAGATAGAGAGGGTGAGAGAAAAAAAATTAAGATTATAAGAGATAATTATGGGCCGTTAGATTTAATTCTAATCTAACGGTTAGAAGATTGGTTATAAGGGTGGTAAACTTACTTAGTGATAAGTATAACCGTCCACATTATTAATATAGGAAAAAACAACTCTCATATTGTTGGAGAGTTTTTTCTTTCTTGGAGACACATCAATTTTCGTGATGTTTTTTTTTTTGAATAAATGATGATCCTCATCACATGGTTGTGTATGCAGTATCAGACAAAATGTCTCTTATTGCAAGAGATTAATAAAATCCAAAATTATATGAACTCCTCATACTACAAAAAAATAAAACAAAAAAACTTTGAACTTCTAAATAATAGATCAATTTTTTAAATTATTTTATTTTAAAAATTCAAAAAATAATTTTAAAATTTCCTTCTACTAAAATCGTTTTCGGGATCTACCAAGAAACGAATCATTTTTTGGATTTTATTTTTTTAAAAGAATTGTTCAGATAGATACAAATAGAAAATTAAAGGAGTAGTGAAATTAGGATAGAGTTCTTTAATAATTCTATGTAGATAAAAGATTTTTAAGGGAGAAAAAAAAAATGAAAATTAATGTCAATTATTGATAAGAAAGAACATTTAATTTTAAGCAGTGTTATAAAATTCGGCCGAGTCGACCTGAAACACGGCGAACCGATAATCAGATCGGTTCGAGTCAAGCATCGGACCGCCATGCACCGGACCCGATCAAACCCGGCCAAAACCAACCAAACCTGATAAAAATCAATGATCCGGTCGGGTCATGCATTTTTATAAAAAAAAATGTTTAAAAAAATGTAGAACTCATTTTTAAAAAAAAAAAATTGTAATTTTATTTGCTACTAGTATACTCTTTTACAACAACTTTAAATTTCAGCTTACAATACTGAAACAATTTGCAGATCAATAAATCAAGAGAATGTGATATGTTATTTTAATATATATGAATTTGAAATATATGAGTTCACAACATCTGGCCTTCTCAATGTTATAGGTATATTTATGGGAATTCTGAGTTGCAATTTAAATTGACATATTAATAGCGTATATTCATTTATTTGTGCTTCATGAACTTGTAAAAGTGATTGGGTAATTTTTGAACTTATTTAGTGAATCTTTTTTAATTCATTTTAGATATAGAGAATATAATTATATAATTATATATATATATATATATATATATATATATATATATATATATATATATATATATATATATAGGTCAACCGGTCCAATCGGTGATCCACTAGTCTGACCAGTGATCCAGTACTCCGACCGAATCGATGCCCGAATCGGGTTTTATAACCCTGATCTTAAGGGCATAAATGGTATTAGGAGAATCACACTTTATAATGGGTTCAACAATGGTAGAGTCGAGAAAATTATAAAAAAAAAAAAATTAAAGAGGAAAATTATTAGAATTTACCTAGTATACAAAAATGTCATTACGAACTTGCATAGCCCTTAAATATTCTTAAATAAAATTGTCCAAAAAGTAAAATTTAGTGGTTTCTCTCCAAATAAAATTGTATAGTACTTCTTGATAGTTTAAAGGGCCGACCCAGTTCAAATACCCACTTCGTGAGTGTCTGGGGAAGGGAATACTCTAGGCAGTCTTTCCCCTGCTTTTTGCAGAGAGGCTGATTCGAACCCGCGACCTGACACACCACGGCAAGCAAGCTTACCGCTGAGCCAAGCCGGCCCTTCAGTACTTCTTAATAGTTTAAACCTTTTAATTTTTTTTAGAATAAATTTTTATTCGTAGCTGTTCTTCAAAATTTGAGTTCTGGTTTGAATGGCAAACGGGCAGTTAATGAGATGTGTGAACTATTTGAAAAAGCAGTTATGAGGCTGACAGTAATAGTTGAGGTAGTTGTCTTTAGCTGTCACTGTTGTCTCTTCCATTTATAGCTTTGATGAACGTTGAACACATAAATGTAGTGCTAACAACCGCATTATATTTTCTTACCTACAACCTCAACTCGAATTCCTCCTCCTTTGCTTTTTCTTCTCCTGATTTTGGCCTTCGATGTTATAGTAATATCAGCTTAAACTATGGCTAGACTCAAGTGTCTTCAACTGTGTGCTTGTGTTGCATTGATGGTGGTGAGTGTATTGTTAATCTCGACAGAATCAACACTTCTGGTTTATTTCAAGCGTGTTCCTCCAGCTAGGTCTAGGTCTTCTAACGCTGTTTTCAAGTATCTAGTTGAGAGGTTGGATGGCTCCAATGCATGTAAGAGAAATACTTGTTCATTTTCATGTGAGGTATGCAATTTCTCTTGACCCTTTCATAAGTTCATCTCTAGAGCATATTTAATTTAGATGCTTAGCAATGACATTTGCCGTTATAGAGTACCTCTTTTGAAACATATATTCCCTTCCATTGTTGTTGAAAGTGTTCATCCAAGTCCTCATTTGGTTTTGAATACACGTTCTTATTTGCAGTTGCTAACTGTGACATGAGTTTGTTGATGATGGTATTTTGCATGAACAGGTTGATGGAAAAGTTTACCCTTGCCAGGCTAATGGCATTGTGTTGAAGAACTTAACTCTAAACCAGGAGCATTATTTTCTTCTCAATGTCACTACAAACATAGGAGAAAGAAATTCATCAGTTTACTCATGGTTTATAGGTAAATGGAAGAAAAAAATCTGTTGATAAATGAATTCCAATTTGTTGACTAGTACTTATCAAATCTTGCTCTATAATCTGATTGGATCTTGTAGTCCAAATAATCCCGTGCGATGATGAATAGTAGTTATTAGTGAAACAAAAATGCTTGTACAAATCATAAAAGTAATTCCATCCCCAACAGTCCAAAGATGAAAATCTTGGTAATACTCTGAACCATTCATGAACATCACAGCAAATATGATTGAACATTCATTTTCTCATATTACTAGAAAATTGAAGAGAAATGACATACATTCACTCAATTTCTTTCTTTCTCACCCGTTTAAAGCTTGATTTGTTGGCCACAATACTAAAATTAAACCATTATGGGGCCTTGCTGATGGTTTACTTTTCACTCAATAGACACAATTCCACCAGCTGCAGCAATTACTAGTGAGCAGACGTATACAAATGGTAAAAGGATAGCAATTGATATAACATTCAGTGAACAATGTACTGGACTGGGTGGATTTAATTGTCTAAACTCGTCAAACTGTGATGTAAGTTGATTCTAATGACAAGCATTGTGTTGAAAGTATCTGTAATTTGTTGCTTCCGTTGAAAACATTGACAATAATTTGACAATGGTTTAACATGCAAGGTTATGGTATCTGGTCCTGCCCACGTGCATACATCTTCTTTACAAATTATTAAACCAGGTGTCAAATATAGCCTTGAAGTGATTATATCGTCAAAAATTATATATGGGCGTGCAGTAATCTCACTGGCAGAGAATACTTGCGCCGATGAGGCTGGAAACCAGTTCATGAGAACCAATGGTTCTACTTTAACAATTCATTTTGGTGAGGTTCTAGTTGCAAAGTCCAAATGTTAACCTTTGGCCGAACAAAGTGTTTTTATGGTACTCATACATTTAAATCGTTGTCTTAGATAGAAGACCGGTAATGGTGGACTTTTGGACATCTGTTCCATCTTATGAGTTGAAAATCAACGGTATCCCAAGAACAGTCGTCGCAACAGGCAAACCAGAGGAGCTGATATTTTTCTTGGACTTCAGCATTCCTATAAGAAATTCAACAGAGCAAGTTCTAAATGCACTGCATGTTAATTCTGGTGTCTTAACTCCTTTCCATGGTAGAAGTAATGAGACTCGCCGATTTGCTTTTAAAGTAAGCAGAGAAATTGTCTGATATACTTCTGTTTAACCATGTACATGGTAGAAGTCATACACCGATAGAATTAGAATACGAACTGAGTTCTCACAATTATATTCGTTCGACTAATGGGCTTCATTTTGTAGCTCAAGAACATCACAAGAACTGAGATAATCACAGCCGAATTACAAGTTACATCGATACTCGGCAGGACTGGCACTACTGTATCTCCTGTTGCTCCAATAACACTCCTTTACGGTATGCTATACTCTGCTTATGATAAATTCTCTTAGGAGCTTTAAGTTTAAGCCAATTCCTAATTTTTCTTTTATAGATGCGATGAAACCAAGTGTGGTACTAAGGACCAGCTCTCTCCGTGAAACAAGGGATTTCAATGTCAACATAATTGCTGAGTTCACAAAGCCAGTATTTGGCTTTGAGGCCTCTATGGTAGAAGTCTTGGGAGGAAAATTGATAAGGCAGGTGTACATAGGAGTAAACTAACAAGAAGCATATTATTCATGACAGATAGTCTTTACATCATTGCTTAATAAAGTTAGGTTATTAATATAATATTTCATTGAGGGTTTAAGTTATGCCAAAATTCCTACTTTTGTTCCATGTAGGTTAAAGGAACTGTCAAGAGCTCTATACTCATTGACTATCCAAGCAGTATCAAAGAAGGTGGTGTCAGTTACCATTCCTGCAGGGAAGGTAACTGATATTTCAGGAAATGAAAATTTGGCATCTAACCAACTTGATATCAAGCATTGTATGGATATCTCTTTTCCTCTTCCATATGTTTTTCATGATAATTGGTTATTAAACTTACTTTATTGGTATTCAAAATTAAATGCTCTTTTTAACTCAGCGTCAACAAAATTTAGATTGAGCACTGTGCACTTACGTATTGATAATTCACTCACATAATAATGTAGTATGTCATGTATTAGATTATTATGATTTTTATTACGTTAGGAGCCTTATTGTGCTAATAATCTTATTGAGCTAGGCTAGTACTAATTGTGCTACCTTGTATTTGACCAAAATTAATTGTAGAAATATTAGACGTTTGTATATCTCATATTACCAGATTTAATATTATTCAGAATTTTCCCCTCTTTTCCTTCTTTCACACAAACCAAATTCAAACATGTAAAACATGCTCATGGAATGAAGAAATAAGCAAAAAGCCAGAACATTATTAGAGAGTGACAGTGCATGAACTTATGTTTTCTACGTATGTATGACTCAAACTCTAATATATATGTTCAGATTCCACCCCTGCAATATCCATTGCACTGTACTTATTTGTGAGTGCTGGAACAATTGCTACATCACTGATAGCTGCTATGGTTTCGCTTTCCTCTGCAAATCTAGAAGCAATAAGCATACTTGCTTTGGGAGGTACGAACTGTCCTGCTTCCAACCCATCGATGAATCTACATGTAAGTAAAGAAACGATAATATGGTATTATAATTCGAATTCGAACAATTTTCAACTTCTCAGAGTTCTCCTAACATATACATCATCTCTACTTAAGGGTTTCCTTACATTTTACAGGGAATGATTGGACACCTACAAGTCTTTGCCCTCACAAGTTGGTTTTCAACTAACCAACCTATCAAATACTCTGAGACAACTAGAGGTCTACAGTGGCTTATACCTCATCACAAGCTTCCCTGGAAAGATTTTGACACTAGGTCTTCAATCTTGGAAAAAGAGAAGTTTGCAGGGAGAAGTAATGGCTTGTCACATTCTCATAACAGAGATCATCAACAAACTGACTTAAATAGCTTGTCTTATATGGAACACAAACAACCATTTCCAATTGAAATTACCACCAGTTCTGGTTGGCTTCATAATCAGCACAACATAAGTATGACAAATATATTTTATGGTCTACCTCTCAGTTCCGTCGAATATTTCAGTTATTTCTTGGTGAGTTAATATCATTTTTCAAAGCAGTACATGAATAGACCGACGCTCATTTACAGCTGAACATTTTCCTTGTAGAGAGGAGAACCAATGTCTGCTAGCAATGTCGTCAAAGGAATGGAGAGTCACAAAGGGTAGCTTTACCATAACCTTTATATTTAAACATTGGACTCCAAACAGTCACTCACACACCAAGCACAGTCACTTACACACCAAGCACAGTCACTTACACAAGACTTCCAATTATTATGTTTAACAGTGACAGGAAAAAAGGAGTAAGAACATTTGAGAGGTTTTTTATCAACAGGTGGCAGGACATGGAGATGAACTTGTTCTGGCTTGGTGTGGGAGGAGGCTGTTTACTTTCAGTTCATGCTTTCATGATATTCTTCCTACGACATAGGACAGGGAGACCACCACAAGGCAATTTATCATTTCCTAGGTTTGAGCTCTTTCTTATGATTCTCATGCTACCTTGCCTTTCTCAGTCATCAACATTTGTAATACAAGGTAAGCAACTAGCTTTGACACTGTCTAATTTCAGTCACCTGTATTTACATGATTTCAGAAACTGTATGATTTAAGACTAAATTCACGTGTACAATTATTTAAGCCTTAAGACTACATTTATATGCAGGTGGAACAAAAGGGGGAATTATTACTGGGGTGTTGTTGCTAGCAGTCCCTGTAGCATTCATCTTATCAGTAATGTTATTTCTTATCATTGCAATCTCCTCTGGAAGTTTTGCTCAGTACAAAGAATTCAAGCAAGTAACTATTGAAGAAGAATGGTACATGAAGTTGTGGTTCTTCTTTATTGGGAGGCCTACAACTGGAAAGTGGTTTAACAGGCACGGGCTACCTTCATCTTTCGTCTCACGCTTCGGTATTCTCTTTGATGATTGGAAGGGTTATCCGGTGCTTCTTTTAGGTGATCAAAATGAACCAAACACCATAACCAAGTGGACTGACAGTGCTCCAAGCGGGATCGGAAGAATGAAGGCAGTGAGCTCAGAGGACAACAACGAGGAAAACAAAATTCCCATTTTCAAGAGGGCATTGGGCTGCGTGAGAGCATCCTATGTCATCCTTGACTTATCAAGAAGAGTTAGTTTGGGAATAATATCAGTAGCTTACCCATCCGAAAAATCAAGTAAAAGCCTTTTTGCATTGATAATTACGTTAGTACAGTTCATTTATCTATTTACCATCAAACCATACATCAGCAGGAGCGTCCAGGTTGTAGAAAGTGTTTCTCTCTTGTGTGAGGTAGGCGTGTTTGGTATCTTTATCATTCAGAGTGGTTCAAACTCAGTTGAAACCAAAACTTGGGAATTGATTATGTTGGTTCTTCTGGTGTTCACCTTCATTGCCCAGCTTATCAATCAATGGTATGCTATGGTAAAGTCCATATTAAAACTCTCACAGTCTGAGAGTAATTCTTTAAGGCATGGGTTAAAGTTTGCCGCAAAGGGACTTATCCTGCCTTTCCTTCCGAGCAAGCATTGGTCTAGCGTGATATCCACATTCTCCCAGCCGGAAACCGACATACTTTCAGTTAATCCTATATGTTCAGGAGCAGAATTTGAAAGAAGAAATAGAACTGGATATATGGATCCAATTAGCGCCATGACCGCTACTGTAGTCCCAGTGCAAAGCCCGGGTACACCCAGCCCCAATGTTATGGAAAGAAGAGATCCTACAACCTCAGAGATAGCTGTCAATGCACATATAGAAGTGGAAGGTAAATGGCTAAAGGAGAACAAGGCTGGCCTAAAAAATGAGCTAAAGATACTAAGGGAGCTTGCAAAAGCTAGTTTTTCTGGGGATGCCAGGGTTGATGAAGCCAGTACCAGCTACACATTAGATGAGCAACATTCATCAAGTAAAGTCTATTTGGGTAATCCAAAGCGAAGACACTGATGCATAAGGATGACCGAAGCACATCACCACAACCTATTTGGGGAGATTTTGGAAAATGCATATTACAAATTGTTGTGTGTATTTATTCCATAATCATTTGTATAGCTTCTTCTGTAGTTTTAGTGAACTCCACTTTTTGCTAATGCTATTCTAATTCCTAATGACTCAGCATATTCAAACATGCTATGGCAACTTCAAGGATTGAAATCCTCAGCAGTTTTATGAGATTTAAACCTATCCTGTAACAAGAGTAAAATTATATACGTAATTTAATAAATACAAGCAATTGAATCATCAACTGCACGCTCCTGCTGTTTTTTTCATAACTCTTGAGGATCCTAGTCCCAACTTCAAACATATGTTTTACCCAAAATGTACAAACGTATTCACATATTCAATTCCTACATATCTAACCGTAAACATTCGTCTCCATCAGAATTGTATAAAAGTTTCAAATATCCCAAAAAAAAAAAAAATGCATCATCACATTCAGTTTCATTTAGCACTCAGAGAAGCAACATACCAATCAGCTACATGTTGTGCTTACACTGTGCTGTTATCGAGCAAGCCATCGACGCCATGAACGACGAGGAGATCACCGCGATACATGTCCGGAAACTTAACTGGCACGCCGTTGAGCTCGCAAACGCTAGGAGAGACAGTTACTCTGATAACAAACCCGTCGGAGAAAGTCGGCAACAGAGTCTCATCTCGAAGGCTAGTCAAATCCAGCCACGGAATCAACCTCGGAACAACGTGCTTCCGGAAAATCGCCGAGTAATTACCGATGTTCCTCACGTTCTCCGCAACCGCCACGTCGACCGGCGCGAAGACCGTGAGCTTCGTCCCGTCGTTGAACTCCGCCACCTGAGTCTCGAGAAACGTGGCCATTATGGAGCAGCCGTTGGATCTCAAGACATCAGAAACTGCGGCGAGAGGTTCGGTGTTAAGGGGAACAGCAGATTCGGGGAGGAGGAGGAGGAGGGAAGAGGAATTGAAGAAATCATCGACTGCGAGCATGAGGAGGGAGCCGTCGTCGAAGACGGCGGTGTTGGAGACGGTAACGTTGTTGATGGAGAGTTGTGGAGGGGAGAGGGAGGATGCGGTGACGGTGAGTGAGGAATCGGGGAGGAGTGTGGGTAAGGGAGTGGAGGGAGGGAGAGTGGTGAGGTGTTGGAGTGGGAGCCTGGCTGGGAGGATGTGGTATTGGAGGAGAGAGAGGGGAAGTGAGCCTGAGCGGAGGAAGGCGGCGTCGGAGGGGATGAAGATGGTGGCGGTGGTGGCGGGGGAGGGGAGGCGGAGAGTAGGAGAGGCCAGGCGGAGGGTGAGGCCCATGGAGAGGAAGCCGGAGTCGGTTAGGGTTTGTGCGGCGGCGGAGAAGAGAGGTTCGGTGGATATGGTGGTGGGAAAAAGAAGGAGAGTGATGGTGAGGGTAAGGAGAAGTAGTATGGTGGGTGTTTCTTCCATTGGAATTGGAAAATGGAATGTTTTGTTTTTCTGATGAGCTTCTTGGATTTCTTGTTGCCAATAGAAATAGAAATGTGGTTTGGTTGAAGCGCAGAGAGAGAGAGAGAGAGAGAGAGAGAGGAGGGTGTGATTGTGTGAATGGAGTGGAGATTTGAGCGGGAAAATACAAAGAACCAAAGCAGGGAAATACACGGTTAGTTTAATTCGTTGGTCTAGTGGCATCACCTCGTACATGGTGCTATTAATTTTTATTTTTAATAAAATAATGTTGAAATTTAAGTTAAAATCATGTTATAAGCTTAGTTCAATAAATAGAACGGGTCAAGCTTTAAAAAAAATTGTTTAACAAATTAGCCCAAGCCTAATTTAATTAGGTTTGGCTTGAAAGTTCATGAGTTGGTCTAATATTTTATGAGCTAGATCAATGTTTAAAAAGAAATTGCGGAACTCACTATTTGATCATGAAGTTTCGGGGTTCCAAATTAGCCCATGAATCAAATATCTAATGGTATAATTGAATGTATTGAAAATGTTATTTTTTTATTTTTGTTCCGGCTAGATAGCATGAAATATGTAATTACATGTGGACTGAATATGTTCTATGATTTTTTTCTTTGACGAAGAAATATATAATTTGATGCATTTATAGTCTCAATATTTGAATGTATGTGAATTTGAAAAAAAAAAAATTTAATTATAAAAGAGCCAAGTCAAGTTCAAATCAAACCTTTAATTTTTCATAAACAAACCAAGTTAAGCCTAAAATTTAATTCTTATCAGGCTAATGATCAAGTCAAACTCAAAATATTTTTCATAAACTTAACTTGTTTAGCTAAAACTTGGCTCGACTGAGTTCATTTACACTTCTAGTTATAAGCACTTAGGTAAGAAGAGTAGGATTGACATTTAGGCTGCTTTTTAACAAAACTCCGTTTGCGCACAGTTATCTGGATATGTAGAGTATCCTGATACAATCCAATATACATCTTGTTATGGACCCGTATAAAGGGCCCATTGAATGACAGGCCAAATAAGGGGCAATCTAAGATCTAAATAAAGTATAATTATGGATGGATAGGATACTAATCTTAATATGACAGCATGGCAGACAGACCTGGGCCCCCATCAGAGGTACTAAAGGTCCATATTTTACTGCCCACAGGTAAATCCTATAAATAAGAGGTAGAACCTAAAAATATGTTACGCTCTCTCTTACTATTATGTTGTCACTGTGTGCACACACACTCCCCTTTTGGAAAAGTCGTTGTTTGTTTACTGTGCACAGTGATCTGCTTGACTCAAGGGTATCTCCTTCATAGATACCTTGGAGAGGGCACTAGATCCAACATCAAAATATCAGTCAAATGGACTGGACATCTCTGTCCCCTGGACAGAACATTGGCATCATCTGTGGGGACCGTTGAATTCGATATTCCCACAATCCTGATTGAAGATGGCAGTTCATACAAGGAGTAATAGTCAGCAGTCACAACCTCCAAACCAACCGCTGGGTCCTATTCTGGAAGAGGTTAATCAACCTGATCATCAACCAAAGAATGAGGTGGACTATAATGCAGTCAATGTCAGTGAAGATGTGTCAGACACAGCCTCTATCCTAGCCCCACGAAATCGAGTTCTAGATCCGGCATTGAATAATCTTCCTCCTCAGCATCCCGCATGCATTGATGTTTGTGGAGCACAACCTGCAGATCCTGATTCTCGCTTGGCTCAAAATACCTTTGATGCAATTTGGCGAAGGGTGGAAGATATGGAGAATCGCAACAATCTCCAACGTCAAGAAGATTTCAGGAGAATTCAGGAGGACAATGCGAGGAGAATGCAGGAGCTCGAACAACGTTAGTTGGCAATGAGAGGGCCTGTATCAGAGAGGGTCCAAGGCCGAGAAGAAAATGGCTGAGATGGGAATCACAACCCGGATAGGCAGGCTCGAGATGTGGTCATTAAGAACCGAGGAGCATCAAATATGGGAAACGGTGAAGGCCAAAACCCTAAAGCCCAGGGAATGAATAATCGGAATATGAACACGCAACCTCTGGTCCATAATGCTTCAGCAGGAGCAAATGTGCAGAGGAATGGGGAGGGAATACATCTTAACCAAGATGCCCAAACTGCCAAAGGACACGTGGAACCCGGTGGTTACAGGAGAAAGTACAGTAGGGGGCAGTCAATAACAGCCCCTTCACTGGTGAGATACTAAATGCTCCTTTTCCAGAGGATTTTGATTCGGCACGCTTGCCGAAGTATGATGGAAGTCAAGATCCACAGGTCCATATAGATGCGTTTGACACGGACATGTACATCCGAGGAATTGATGAGCCCCTCATATCCCAGATATTCGTCATAACTTTGACTGGGGCTGCGCAGGCATGGTTCTCAACCCTACCTGTCAATTCCATTGGATCTTTCGAGGAATTTGGAGAGAAGTTTCTTCTAAATTTTGCAACAAGCAAAAAACATCCAAAATCCGAGTTCGCACTTGGGAAGATACGATAGCAGCCCGGAGAAACCCTCCAGAGGTATCTCAACAGGTTCAAAGATGCTGCCTTGCAGATGCCGGGTTTACAAGAAAATGTCCACGTCCACCCCATTGTGGCTGGCCTGGATGGATCATCTAGACTAGCCAAGTTGGTCTACAAAGACTTAGTGACGACATTGGAGGAATTTAGGACTCGTTTAAAGAAGTACCTGAAACTCGAACAAATGGAGATAACAAATGTGCAATCCGAGGAAGGTAAAATGATGAGCCCGAGAAGGAGGAGCCCGACCCCAAGAGAAAAAGACAGAACCGGTAATAAAAAGAAAGACCCTCGAGGCAGAATCCCAGATGGTAGAGACCGGGTTAGAAGATATGAGAAATACACACCGCTCAATGCCTCACGTTCTCAAATTTGGAAGAGGTGGCAATGACGGAGATGAAAAAACTAGATAGACCCCGACCATATTTGACAGAGGAGGTTTGGATAAATCCAAATACTGCGCCTTCCATGATGGACCGGGGCACAACACTGATCAATGCTGGGATCTCCGAGATGCTGTGGAGAAATTTGTCAGAGAAGGGAAACTACGCCAATATATGATTAAGACTCAAGGTTCCAAAAACAACAAAAGAAAGTTTGGAAACCGGAAAAGAAGCAAAAGTCTAGTGCCTGATAAGAAGAAGAAGGAGGATAGAAACCAAAAAGATGACTCCAACAACGACGAATTCCCTGAAGCAGAGTTCGATTGCAATGTGATCAGTAGAGCCCTTGGAGGAGGGGGAGATACAGTGAGTGCCAGATGAAGGTATCTAAAAAAATGCTTTCGATTAGGGATCGTCCTAAATTTAAGGAGGACCCCAGTAAACCAGACCCTCCCATGCTTTATTTCACAAAGGATGATATGCAAGGTGTTTTGCCAGGGCATGTGGATGGTGTGGTCATCACTGGAACCCTGGTGAATTGTCGGGTTAAAAAGATCTTCATAGATGCAGGGAGCAGTGACGACATTATAATATGGGGCGCCTTCAAAAAGATGAACCTGGATGAAGAAGATCTCAAAACCTGCAAGACAACCCTGATAGCTTTTAACGAAGAAAACATGTCTCCTAAAGGCTATATAGATCTCAGGTTAACCCTGAGAACGAAGGAAGCGTTCAAATCAGAACAAGTGAGATTCATTGTGGCTGACTTCCTGTCTAAATATAATATCATCTTGGGGAGACCAACCATACATAAACGGGAAATGCTAGTCTCCACGAATCATCAGAAGATAAAGATGGTAAGCAGCAAAAATGAAGTCATTACCATCAATGGGGATCAGAAAGAATCCAGAGAATGCTACTTTGAAATTGTCAAAGGAAATGAAGGCAGACATTTGAGTCCACCCCAGATTCGTCTGGGAGATAAAGCCGACAAGAAGTCAACCCCTCATCATTCAGGTAAACCCGCCAATGTGTTTGAATTGGATACGAGGGAAGAAGTGATCCCCAGGTCAGAACCACATGGGGAATTAGAAGACCTTGTGCTGGGAAAAGAACCGGATCAATTTACCCGAATTGGTAAGGCCATAGATCCCCGCATCAAGGAAGGATTAGTCGAGTTTCTCAAAAGCAATACGGGTCTTTGCATGGAAGTCATCAGAGATTCCCGGCATAGATCCAATCTTTTGCTGTCACAAATTGGCAGTTTACCCTGGGATCAGTGCCAATTGCGAAAAAGAAAAGAAAACTGGGGCCAGAAAGAAAACAAGTTCTAGAAGAGCATGTGAAGGAGTTGCTAGATGTCGGGTTCATTCGTGAAATACAATATACAACCTGGCTTGCTAATGTTGTTATGGTGAAAAATCCAACGGAAAATGGAGAGTCTGTACTGATTACACGGATCTGAATAAAGTATGCCCAAAAGATTCTTACCCCATGCCTAACATAGACCAGCTAGTGGATAACTCGGCTGGATTTCAATTGTTATCCTTCATGGATGCTTATTCTGGTTATAACTAGATTTCGATGTATCCAGAAGATTAAGAGAAAACTACTTTTATTGCTAAAAGGGCCAATTACTGCTACAATGTGATGCCTTTTGGGCTCAAAAACTCTGGAGCTACATACCAGAGGATGATGAACAAGGTGTTCGAGGATCAACTGGGCAAAAATGTTGAAGTATACATTGATGATATGATCGTTAAGTCATTTGATATGACAAATCATGTCCAGAATCTGGAGCAGACATTTCAAAAGCTTAGAGAACATCGCATTCGACTGAACCCGGTAAAATGTGCATTTAGAGTCCCAGCTGGAAAGTTTTTGGGTTTTATGTTAACCCATAGGAGAATTGAAGCAAACCCTGACAAGTGCAAAGTAGTGCTTGATATGAAAGCTCCTCAAAGCAAGAAGGAGGTTCAGCAATTGATTGGTAGACTGGCTGCATTAACCCGGTTCTTACCTAAGGCAGCTGAAAATGCCCTCCCATTCTTCAAATTGTTGAAAAAAGAAGTTGTGCAAG